AAAGAATTTATTTGCAAATTATGGTGGAAAATAAGTATTTGGTCAATATCAAAAGTTCATCTCAATACTTTGTTATATATCCTTTGTTGGCAATGACAGAGGTCAAACGTTTCCTGTAAGTCTTCACAAGGTTGGCACACACTGTTGCTGGTATGTTGGCCCATTCCTCCATGCAGATCTCCTCTAGAGCAGTGATGTTTTGGGGCTGTCACTGGGCAACACGGACTTTCAACTCCCTCCAAAGGTTTTCTATGGGGTTGAGATCTGGAGACTGGCTAGGCCACTCCAGGACCTTGAAATGCTTCTTACGAAGCCACTCCTTCATTGCCCGGGCGGTATGTTTGGGATCATTGTCATGTTTGAAGACCCAGCCACGTTTCATCTTCGATGCCCTTGCTGATGGAAGGAGGTTTGCACTCAAAATCGCACGATACATGGCCCCATTCATTCTGTCCTGTACATGGATCAGTCGTCCTGGTCCCTTTGTGGAGAAACAGCCCCAAAGCATGATGTTGCCACCCCATGCTTCACAGTAGGTATGGTGTTCTTTGGATGCAACTCAGCATTCTCTCTCCTCCAAACACGATGAGTTGTGTCTCTACCAAACAGTTCTATTTTGGTTTCATCTGATCATATGACATTCTCCCAATCCTCTTCTGGATCATCCAAATGCTCTCTAGCAAACTTCAGACGGGCCCGGACATGTACTGCCTTAAGCATGGGGACACGTCTGGCAGGATCTGAGTCCCTGGCGGCGTAGTGTGTTACTGATGGTAGCCTTTGGTCCCAGCTCTCTGCAGGTCATTCACTAGGTCCCCCCCGTGTGGTCCTGGGATTTTTGCTCACCGTTCTTGTGATTATTTTGACCCCACGGGGTGAGATCTTGTGTGGAGCCCCAGATCGAGGGAGATTATCAGTGGTCTTGTATGTCTTCCATTTTCTAATTATTGCTCCCACAGTTGATTTGTTCACACCAAGCTGCTTGCCTATTGCAGATTCAGTCTTCCCAGCCTGGTGCAGGTCTACAATTTTGTTTCTGGTGTCCTTTCGACAGCTCTTTGGTCTTCACCATAGTGGAGTTTGGCGTGTGACTGTTTGAGGTTGTGGACAGGTGTCTTTTATACTGATAACAAGTTCAAAAAGGTGCCATTGATACAGGTAATGAGTGCAGGACAGAGGAGCCTCTTAAAGAAGAAGGTACAGGTCTGTGAGAGCCAGAAATCTTTCTTGTTTGTAGGTGACCAAATACTTATTTTCCACCATAATTTGCAAATAAATTCTTTCCAAATCAGCCAATGCGATTGTCTGGATTTTTTTTCTCATTTTGTCTCTCATAGTTGAGGTCTACCTATGATGCCAATTACAGGCGTCTCCCATCTTTTTAAGTGGGAGAACTTGCACAATTGGTGGCTGACTAAATACTTTTTTGCCCCACTGTATATATATAATTTTTTTTTTTTTTACCATGACCTCTGTTCTCAGCTGCACTGGGGGCTTAGAAAGGTAGGGGTGGAGACTGCGGGGGGGGGGGCAGTGGAAGAGCATCTTCCCAATGATTAGCTGTGTAGGGGGCATGCCAGTACAAGTCTGACCACTGGATTACAGGCAACCCATGCCCTGAAGTAGAAAGCAAAGAAGAAAACTGACCACACTGTGATGGATGTGATTCCATGCCTGGGTGTGGTCAGTTTGAAATAGGGAAGCATGGGGACTAACAGGGATTTCACACAAAGGACACAATGTAAAGAGAACATGATACTTTTTAACACAAGTACATGGTAATACAGACATACTGTATGCCAGGAATATGAAATCTTTGGGGAACATACACTTTAATGTTGTCCTCCTCAGTTGGGAAAAATTGCGCTAGGAAATGTTTTATCCAGGATTTGTTCATGGTCACAAACAATAATTTTTTTTTAAACAATTAGGTATGGTATACATGTGTATGAAAGAACAATACAAACAAAGGTACCTGTATAGTGTGGGCAAATCTGGATTTATAAGTAGAATCTACTATGTATGTAGTATGTTTACTAGAACCCCATGGGCTGATGAATATATAATGTATACAGAAAAATACTTCTAATTACGCAGTATACTTATTAATGTAAAGCCCCTCTCCAGGACAGAAATAGAGAACATTTTCCAGGGCTTTTGGACTAGATTAGTTGATTTACTGATGATATAATCGAATGCCCTGAGAAACAATATTTAAAGAACTTTTTCAAATGTCGCTTTTATTACTCTGTGTCTGCGTGTTTATTTCCAGAAATTGTTGTCATTGCACATTTTATTTTAACACTTTGCTAAACCTTCTTCTATTACTACTTAGACCAAGAAAACGGAAGGTAGAAGACCCCCAAAAGCTTGTTCTGAAAATGTAACGGTTAGGCCTCTTTCACACGGGCGGCAAGGGGATGGTAAAAACAGGCTATGCCACCTTTTTACTGCGTGCACCCCTCCCCCCCTGCCCCCGAACATCCACAAAAAGATTATAAAAAAAGTTGGAGTGGAAAATTAACATGGCTTGTCAAGGTGGCAACACCTGTCAAACTTATCTATTCAACTCAAGGGGGCTGCACCACATCTGCAAGCCAAGAGCTTACCTTGCGGTTCCCATTCAGAAAAAAAGCCAAAACAAAAAAACAGGTGACACCTTGAAGCCACTGCTTAGCCGCCCTCTTAAAAGTGAGCTGCAGTGTAAGCTTAGTCTTAGTGCAAAAAAGACAGTACTCTGTTATGTTGAAAAGAAATTAGAAGCCCTCATGCACACGGGACGTTTTGATAACGCTGGTAACGTTAGCTGTGTGAAGTCACGTTAAAAACATGAGTTTTTTCAGCTTTTTTTTTTAGCGTTTTTTCATTAGCGTTTAGCGGCGTTTTCCAACATTTGTGGTTTTTAGTGTTTTTTTTGTTTTTTTTTTACCAAAACAAAAATTTTGTTTTGGTCCAAAAATGCCAGTTTGCAGCATTTACCGCGTTTTTTCAGCGTTGGAGCGTTTTTTTTTACAGCTAAAAAAACTCCTCTAGAAACCGACTAGTTCTGGGGTTTTTTTCCAGCCAAAAAACGTTGATTACAGTCTGTGTGTGTATGGACACATAGGATAACATGCTGGGGGGCTGTAGAAAAAAAAAACCGTCAATAGCCATAAACAGCAGCTGTAAAAACGTCAAGTGTGCATGACGTGAGGATGAAATGTTATTTTTTAATTTAATGGACAGTACTACGTTATAGGATTTTTTTTTATCCAGCCTTCTGATACAAATTTTTTTGTAGTTTTCTATTGAGTGGCAAGGTGTTAGAACCTCTGTTGTTTTTTTTCTTGCTGTGTCTCAGAGATTTGCCCTCTACAGTATACTTGTCTTGATGATAATTATCACTTAGATAAAAAGTGATGGGAAGTCAGGAAAATTAAGGAGCAAATTGAAATCTTTCAATGGGAACACCTGTTCCAATGACACCTGTTCCAGTGACAACTGTGTAACAAGATTTCCCCTCCTTTTAGGGAGCTTTCCTACAGCTGCCTGCAGTGTTTCCAGGGCAGGAAATCTCCCCAATGGTGCACAGCAACAAAACATAAATTCAGATTTGTAAGTTTTGGCTGTGCACAGACTCTGAACATGAGACTGCGTAGGTGCAGTGTGTAAATCATGGAGTTTTAGCGTACCCATGATAGCCTCTCTGCCCGCAGCTTGGCAAAGTCAAGGCAGGCTGGACAGGGCTGAATGCTTTACCAAATGGTACGTGCATTCCAGGCATTCGTTCCTGAATGCACAGGGCCTTAACCCCTGGTGCACATATATGTGGCCGTGCGGGACACGTTTTGCGCAGGCATGGAGCCCATTCATTTGAATGGACTCCCGTGCCCCGGGACAGGCAGGGAAGAAGTCCCTGCACTTCTTTGGAAAACGCAGCCCACACAGGAACCTCGGTTCCCAGTGCGGTTGTGATTTCCAGTGCGGGCAGCGCCCGCGGGTCCGCATTCCTCTGTGTTCATATGTGAGCCTAGCCTAAATGCAGGTACTTAGTACAACATTTAGCCATGTCCATCTGCAGCCTGCAATAGACTTTGACAGGCTGCTGGGAGAGGGATCAGATGCTGCACCCATCACTCCTAGGTGCACTAAGGACACATTCACAGCAGAATCTGATGCTGGAAAAGCATGGTTCCCGCACCACATGGGAATGCACTGCCCTTGTTAGATGTGTGTACTCAGGAGGGACAGGTACAGTGAGTTTGAGGCCACCAAACTGCATGGTGCCTCAGTACCATGTGGTTTGGTATGGGACGATTTTTAAAAGTTGTGCCTGTCATACTTTTTGTGCAGTTCCATGCATTTGGCAGCCCATTGAAATGAATGGGCAGTCAAAAACAGAGCACACATTCTGGTGTGAACTGGCGCTAAGGCCTCTTTCACATGGGCAGTTGTTCTGCCGCTTGTAAATGCAGATTTTGTTATTTTGACATTAAAACTCTCCTGGCACAGAGATCACTTACGTTTATCTGCGTTTACATGCGTTTAGCTGCGGTAGTACATTCTTGCCTTTTCTAATGCAACTGTTTACTTATTTTTTCTTTGTACTGTGATTACCTGCGTCTATGTATAGATAGGTGCGGTACATCTCTCCTGGACGCAGTCAACCTTTTTTTTCCTAAACGCATAAAACCATATGTTATGAAAACGTTGCTAAACGCTGTGTGTGAATGGAGCCATAGGGATGCATTGTCTGCATTTAGCTGCAGTAAGTTCCTCTAAAAGCTGAAATCTAACCGCCCGTGTGAAAGGGGCCTAAAACTCTGAGAGGGACACACTGCATCTAGACAACCGCCTGTGAAAGGGGCCTAACATAACATACAATATAGTTTTATTATCTGCTGATCCTGCAACTATGTTACTGCTGTATTAATACTGCTGACAGCAACTTTTTGTCATTTCTTTATTGTGCCATAATTAGGTGAACCATTGCCTTCTAAAATGCAAATCCACTTATATACCTGGACACCAAGAAAGATGCACAAGTACCACGGTGGTACGTCTGTCACTGTGTATGCTAGTTTGTTCCGCTCATGATCATCAGGACTGATCTTCCTGCTCCCCTTCTCCCCAGGGTCTTTGGTGTTATAGGAAGACATGATGTTGTAGTGGTTGGCATCTTCAACCTGCCAAGGAAACCAGAACTTTGATTAGAGGTCAGAGATCTTCAACTGCTTGGTTGATAATTAGTACATTTTATCTTTCTTGAAACTGTTGACAGAATTACAGACCAATAAAAGGATAAGCTCATGTTACTCTGCAGACGATACAATCAGTCTTTTTGTGATCAATATCCAAATAGTACAAATGCACATTGCACCAATCATGTCTGTGGCTATGAATCACACCTGCCAGCTCTGGTTCAGTTTCATTCAATATATGTGTCTTTAAAATATTTATTTGTTTAGAAGAATGAAGTGTAATGCATGTGCCCCATAGCTTTCAATCACATTGGGAAAATTCTCTTCACTTGTAGGTAGGTTGCCTACAGATGTGGGTTCTGTGTTAGGTGAGCTAGCTAGTCTGCCCAGGTTAGGTTCTTGCTTCTAATCCCATGCAACCACCTTGCAGCCAGTAACCACAGGGCTGAACTTCCTGCAGGGTCTGAGTGCTAAGATGATGTGACCTTGTTCTGCAGTGGTGGACTGCTAGAACTTGCAGTCCGCCCGAAGTTTCCCAGCAAACTGCCAAGTTATGTACTATCACCTGTATAAGGTATGCCTGGGCAGCCACAGTTCAGACAGTTAGTTTGGGACATTTTGCAGTAGACTGTAAATGTGGAGTCATGTCATTACACTCTGATGCTCGGTAAATTTTGTTAAACTGTTCACCAAGCCTGGTCTGAAGTTACCTAAAGGGGTGCATGAAGGACCAAATGGCAACTAAATGAACTTGGGTCAGTTAAAGTACATATGGGGTATGAAGGAAGTCTACTACAGAAGGTTAACTTGGCATCAGAAAGGAGGAGAGTAGGTGCCACGGGTAGCCAAGGTCTGGAGTCAAGCAAATAGCAGCTTGAAGCTAAGCGTGGTACCTGGGCAAGGTGAGGCATCCTCTGCTAGTGAGGGGGTCATTGATCGGAATCCCTCCCCAGCGATCAGTTTCCCAACCGGGACTGAACTTGCATTATGGAGACCCTCAACCTAGCCGCATGATATGGGAGAGAACGTGAGAAGGTAAGTGTGCATATGCAAGAGGTGCTCGGCTGGACCCCATTCTGTCACTGGGAGTGAGGTGGCAGAGGTGCACTGGACAGGTTGAGAGGGCAAGGGCTCAGCAGTGTCTCTCCTAAATGCCACAGGCACAGTCAAGGTAAATAATGGTACCATTATTTTGCATGGAAATTTGGCGTTTTATATTGTAGGCCTGTAATTCTTAGGAATAAATCACTGAAATCTGTCCGAACAAGAGTCTAGTAAACATCCCGGGTAGGATAAAACTTGAAACACAAAATCATAAATTATAATTTAATAAATAATCATAAAAAATAATATAATAGATTTAATTCAATAATATAATCAAACCAAAAACATTGAAATTTGAAATATAGCGCCAAGTTCGCACATCGCTGAGCAAAGGCGCAAAATTGTTTTCAGTGTCTGATGACGAATTTCCCCACAAATCATTATCACTCAATTCTGCAAGTGGTTCTAATTTACTATCGCTGTTCTCTAGCTGGTCTAAAACTGCTTTTGACCTAAAGGGACGCTTTTTGGACGCCATGGACGTCTCTCAGTTTCCAGGCAATAAGAACAGTAAAAATGCAGGCAGGGCACAGGACAAAGCACTAGGGACAAAATGTATGTGAAATGGTTTGATACAGTAATGTTTTACTATGTGATTTTAGTGAATGTCACTTTTTGTCATTTTCAAATTTCCCACCGTTCCATCCCCCCGTACGTCACAGGGGACGGAACCCAGAAGACAGATGCTGGCATCCGCCGTATTACATTGCTGGGGACACTGCAGGAGGGACATCGCGGGAGTGCAGGACAAGGTAAGTGATCGAGGGATCGAGGAGCAGCACCCCATGGTATTCCCGAGTGTAGCTCGGGGTTACCGCTTGTGGTACTGAAACTTTACCCCGAGCTACACTCAGGAATACCGCCAGGGAGGTTAAGGTTGATTTCAGTTGAAAGCAGTTGTAGCTTTGTCCTGGGGCATTGATGAATGCATGCACAGAAGGGAACCCCATTATGCCGGGTGAGTGACTCCGCCCACACTATCTGGTTTAGCCAAAAGAACCCAGTGGGTTTGGAGAATGGCAGATTCAAGAAGCATCTGGTCAGTCAAATCAGCCCACCCTCCTACACACTTTCTGCCACAGACTCAGAACAGGAGGTGAAAGAAAATCTCTACAAATAAAGGAAAATCCTCTGGCACAGTTGTACAGTCTCCTCCCCTGTACTGAAATTTCTTACTCAGATTTCATTGCACATTGTTGTGTCTCACAATGTGCATTAAAAGCTGTGGTAAATCAGATAGAGCCTTCTTCATTTCCTGGCTGGACAACGTCCATCATCTCGCCCTATCCTTCCATTCATTGGATTTCAGTTCTTTTAATCATGGAGGCTCAACATCACACATGGACCTTACCTAGGGTGTTCTGCATGCAAATACAGCCTGACTAGGAATGCCTCATCTTCCATACTGACATCCACCCATCAATGCATTTTTATATTTGCATAGCCAGCTGAATGGACTCACAGTTCTTAGAGAGAGTACTAAGGCAGAGTGCTGTGATTTTGGTAGGAATCTGTTAACACCTTGCTGGCCCCAACCACCAGCCTTGATCTGCCTACCTTGCATAGAGAAAAACAAAAAGGTATGTAATGAAAAACAGAAAGGTTTCTACAACATTTGTATTAGCATATTGATGGGGGAACAGGGAAGGCTAATATAATTAGATTCAATTTTAGCTTTATACATTTGTCACCAGAACCAATATCCCGATTGATAGACCCTCCCTCACCTCTTGTTTGCATTGACAGTCAAATGTTGGAATTCCAATTATTTTCTGTCCAGACTGCAGTTGATAACAAAAAAAAAAGTTTGACACTTTTTGCTTCATTTAACCACTTTTACCCCCTTCCTGTCCAGGCCAATTTTCAGCTTTCAGTGCTATCACACTTTGAATGACAATTGCGTGGTCATGCAACACTGTAGCCATATGAATTTTTTAGACAGATTAAGCTTTATTTTGGTGGTATTTATTCACCACTGGGATTTTAATTTTTTTTGCTATGTAAATGAAAAAGTCCAACAATTTTGAAAAAAAGTGTTTTTCTTATAAAATTTTGTAAATAAATAATATTTCATCATAAATCTTGGCCAAAATTTATTCCGTTATCTTTTTAGTAAAAAAAAAAAAAATAACCCAAATTAATTTATAACCAAAAATTATAATTTTTAAACATTTTTTTTTACATTTCTATTTTTTTTTTCTATTATTTTATGTTTTTTTTTCTTTTTTTACATACTGTCACTCTAGCAGTACAGTGTCATCATGGTGACACATGGTGACAAAGCAGTGCGCTTTGGACAGTGATTGGATATGGGGCCTGAAAGAACAGTTCAGAGTCCAGGCTTACACCTAGCACCCTGGCATGTGGGGACGGGTCGATAGTTGTGACAGCAATCTTGACAGAGAAGTCAGGGGAAGGCGCATGTGGGTGAGGAAATATTATGAGCTCAGTTTTGGATAGATTGTGTTTGAGGAAGTAGTGTGACATTCAGACTGATATGTCTGTTAGTAAACTAGTGATGCCTGAGGAGAGCAATGTTGTGAGCTGAGAGGTAGAGATAGATTTGGGTGTCGTCAGCATAGAAATGATATTGAAAGCCATGGCAGACTATCAGCTGACCCAGGGAGGAGGTGTAGATCGAGAATAGGAAGGGTCCAAGAACAGAACCTTGGGGGACCCCAATGGAGAAAGGAAGAGAAGAGGGGGAAGTAGAATTGTATCTGGCACTTAAGGTGCGGTGGGATAGAAGGATGAGAACCAATGAAGAGTACAGTTGCAGAGACCAAAAGAAGTAAAGTTTTTTTTTTGGGGGGGGGGGGGGCGGTGGTCAACCATATCAAGTCAGCAGAGAGTACCAGGAGTAGAATAGTGTCCATTTTTTTTAGTCTTTTGTAGAACGTTTGTGAGTTTTAGGAGAGCAGTTTCTGTGGAATGTTGAGGGTGAAATCCAGACTGAAGGGGATCAAGAAGGTTATTCCTAATAAGGTGGTCACTCAGTTGGTTGTAGGCCAGACATTCAAGGAGTTTTGAGGAAAAAGGGAGAAAGGAGATGGGGCACAGGTTGTTAACTGCTTTACTGCCGCCGTATAGCAGGAATACTGTTACAGGGGTGCGCAAAATCACGTATATATGCGCTTTTTTATTTCTGGGTAGGGGGCGCGCGTGCAAGCCTCAGCTGTCATTCACTGGGTCCCAGCCAGTGATTACTTGCCGGCACTCAGTGATCGCTGATTAATACCGACGGGGGGAGAGAACTGTATGTAAACAATACAGTTATTTCCCCTGTTGGCTTCAGCACACTGCTTTGTATGGCTCTGCATAGCAGAGCCATGCAATGCAGTGTGCTTACAGTGAAGCACAGCACACAGTTAACCCTTTGATCTCCCCAGCTGTTAACCTCTTCCTGTCTAGTGCCATTAGTACAGTGTCATTGCTTTTTATTAGCACTGATCACTGTATTGGTGTCACTGGGGATGTCAGTGACAGCAAGTCAGTTCCCCCCAGTGTCAGAATGACCACCGCAGCCCTGCAGTCCCACTAGAAGTCATTGATCGCTGCCATTACTAGTAAAAAAAAAAAATTTAAAAAAGTACACATATTGGGATTTATTTTTAGCAAAGACATGTAGCAGAATACAGTTTTCCCTAAATTTATGACGAAATTTGATTTTTAAATTTTTTTACTCGACATGTTTAATAGCAAGAAGTCAAAAATATTGTTTTTTTTCTCAAAATTGTCCGTCTTTAATTTTTTTTTTATAGCGCAAAAAATAAAAAACGCACAGGCAATCAAATACCAGTAAAAGAAAACTATTTGTGGGGAAGAAAGGATGTATATTTCATTTGGGTGTAACG